GGAGAATTCAGGAACACTCAAATCTGATCACTCAAATCCTGTCCTTCCTCGAATTTGCGTTCGACCTATTGAATAACCCTTTCGCGACAGTGGCACCCACCAGTGGCTGCCACTCAGTGCGCCACCCACGTTGTGCGACGGCACCAAATGAAAACTCGTGGCTGGGATTCCGTGACTTCCCAGACCGTTTTTAGAATTTCGTAAGTTCAAGTCAAAAGGGCAGAGCATCCCTGTTGTTTTAAGCATTTCACTTTCACCTCAAGAAGATATTTCCAGCGATAGCCTATACAATCTAATCGTATCAACCGATACCTATTTACTGGTTTCAGTACTATACAATCTGACCATCAAAACCTATTTGCCCGGTTATGTGTGATTTTCCACCTGAGAAGAATCTCACTTTCGATGGAGAAGTGGAAATCGACATGGTGGTAGACGAGCCAACCAGTAGTATTGTGCTCAGTGCGAAGGATATCACTGTGGTAAAAGAGAATTGCGAGGTTCTTTCGGTAAGCTTCACCATTCTTTTTATTCATAGATAATCATGGGCAGAGTCATGGTATTTCAATCCAGTCCGATGTGAATCTCACAATATAACGCATAGAATGGCGATCCATTCGACCATACTAAGGGTGCTGACATCAAATTCTTCCTATTCCCCTTGGAAGCGTCAAAAAGCCGGCCGCGCTCCTGGTTGTTCTGAAAGCATGAGTGCCAGTTTTAGTCTTGCCATCAGGATTCAAAAGCTTTCCGAACAATTCTACCCTGTGCTATGGGCATTTTTAGGAATTTTCTGAGAGGCTAAGAAATATTGTTCTGAACTTTTCCAAGAACGTCATTTCTGCGTCACAGCGGATTGCCGAGCGCGTGTAAATCTCAGAGATTCTTCTTTCATTACATATCTCTCTATTGCGCAGGATTACGATATTTTAAAGAAGGTTCAGAAGACGTGGTGGTGCTCAATGGTACGCCAGTGGCGAAAAAAGCGGAGAAATCCGTCAAGAAAACGCAAAACGGGACCCCTTTTTGGCCGTTGGTTTTCACTCATGAACAGGTAACAGCTCAGAAAGCGGACGTATGAACGAGTTCACGCAACGCGTTTGGTGGCACCATGCCAAACCACGCTCCAATCGAGTTGCTCCAGTTGTGCCGCTGCTGCTCGTCCAAATCACCAAGTAAACTAGTGGGCGGATCGCTTTTGGGGGCGGAGTGCTTTCGAAGTCCTGCTCAGCAACCAGCGCACCTTTCGTCGTGAAAGCGCTACACCTCGCTTCCCTGGCAGCCAAGTAACTGATTCGTGTGGTGCATATGCTTCCCGATGCGCTCCCACTTTATCGTAATCGCTGCCTTCAAAGACATCCTTAAAGGACGAATTCACGATTAGAATGAAGGTCGAAGAAGGAGTAATTCACCTAGTTGAGGGACCCGCGGACCTCCTAAGGGTGCGGAACTGAAGCGCAATTGGCACCGAAGGAGTTGACCTCGGCGACCTATTAAGGCTCAATCTTGGCGCGGTGGGCCAGTGCACGCCCACCGATCACTCGCCGCAGGTCTATACGTGGCGAGTGATTAGATAGCTGAGAGAGCGTAGTGTTGAAGAGGGCACAGCGATGAGAGTCGCATCAATGCTCAAATCAACGGGCAAGGAAGGGGTCCCATTTCTCGGGTTCTGGGCCGTTTCTCATGGTTTTTCCTTCTTTAGTGTACCACTCATCGCTAAGTTAATTTGAAATGGGTTGCCTTTCCAGCGTGAATTCGTCCTTTAAGATCAGATTGTTTTTATTCTTGCACGCGAAAATGAAAGTGTTGGTGTGAAACGGAATGGCAGTGAAGGAAAAAGGACATACCTTACCTTGTAATGAGACGTGCTAAAGCAATGAGAGAGTGACCGCAGAGGGGAAATGTGAGGCGAGAGAGCGTAGCAGATAAGAGGGCGTCAGACAAGAATGCTGCGGACTGAGAATATTGCAGCTGCTGCAGCTAATTTTCCAAGGTCCCATCATACTTGTTGGGAGATTTCGAGACGCGGCAGTCCCACGTCTTGTTTAGCCCGTAGAGTTCCATCCTGCGGACTGAAGGAAATCGTTAACCCCTGCCTGGGTTGCGTCTTTAGGTAATTTGGAGGCAAATCAAGCATAACAAGGGTTTCGAAGCTTTACAAGCGAATAAAATTTCTTACAAGTATACAATGCAAAAAGTCGGAAAAATAGAACGGACTACGCGCGTTTCTTACATGAACGGTCTCAGCTACGCTATGAATTCAACTCCTACATGAATATACATGCAGCGGATTCCGAATTTCTTGCCCACGCAACGATTTCATGAGATCAGCTTGGACGAAATTTAGGCTGCCATGTCTGTCAAGCCTATTAGCGATTTTCCGATCTCGTCATTTCTCCCACCCACAGAACTCACAAGCGTAAATATTGGAATCCTGCAATGGAGAGTAAAAGAAAGCAGGTCATTAGTATATTCTGATATTGGGATTTCAGGGAAATCAAAGACTTAAAATTGAAGATATGCTGGAGCATGAAAAACTTGATAAACTGGAGTTTGTTCTGGAGAAGCAACTAGAGAAGAATCAAAAAATTCTTCTCAAGGTTGGTGAATTCCCAAACTTACTTTCCTCGATTTCTTAGTGTATCCATGGCATTTTCTAAGAGATTCAGATAAAATACACCGGTCTCATCAGCAACACTCTGGGCGGACTATATCAATCAACCTATGATGATGCAAATGGAAAGACTAAGTGAGTTTCTCAACTTGACGGGGAGGGTGGTTATGAGCTCGATTTTGGACGCTTATGAATCTGTTAGGTACACATGACGGAAAAGCATGACAATTGATTAAACCACTTTTTTCCTGTAAGTTTATCTAACTGGTTTCTACTTTTGTACGGAACCGTTTGTGATCTTAAGCAGATCGTAGAGGACTTCTAAAAGCAGATAAATCTCTTCGATTATTGACATCTTCAGAATAGCTCTATTTTAACTGACCATTGTTATATTATATTTCGCTGCTCATCATGCCATAATTCACCGCTGAACTTGGGGGAAATATCTTCCAAAACATAAGTATGAAAAAAAGAAAAAACCTTTTTTCATGCTATAACGAGCTCGATTTTCGTACCTCTGCACTACATCGAGTAATTCCTTATACGTTTGATGGACCTCAGATGCAGAGTTGACCCCATCAACAATCAGGAGTGTCAAAAAATTTCTGTTTATTGTTGCCAACAAATTCTTGGAGTCTAAAGAAACTTTTGCAAAGTTTATAACTCGAACGGCACTCGAATGTATTTCACATAATTTCAGAATTGCTGCAGTTACTGATATGGAGCCAGTTGACGCTCGCAAAATGGTGCCATGCCTAGATGAACCGATTTTCAAGGCGAATTGGACAGTAACAATAATTCATCCGAAGGTACAAAGGCCATATCGAATGGCAAAGAAGCGAATGGAGACGGGTTAGTCGCACGTTGTCAGGACTATCTGTTCTTTCTAAATGAATGAGCATTTCTAACAAGCCTTGTCTCAGGCAGGGTCATCCTCTACGTCCGCACTTTTTTAAAAATTTTGCGACCCCCTCCCTCTCTTTGAGGTAGTCTCAGTCTTAGAAGGCTCCCTCAATACTATCCCCTCCCCATCTTGGCCGTTCCTATAGTATTTGATTCTGGGACCAGTCGACACAGCCTAACTCCGCCACTTTTTCATTCAAAACGTCGTCGAGCGGGAGGAGGAGGGGGAGGGCTGAATTGGAATCATAATGGGATGGGTGAAGGGCACCCACTATGACAACCTTACTCAACCCTAAAATTCGACACTTCCCCTTCCCGAGATCACAAATGCGACCCCTCGTTCGAATATTGCGAACGGACGGTTGACCCTGGTCCCAGGTATAAGCTTTCAGTGGAAGAGATGGTAACTTCTTCTTTTCAAAGGCAGGGGTCGTGATTGAGTGGTCAACTCGACCACTTCCATTGATATGTGGGTATGTGCGCAAACATAGAGATGAAGCCACCCTCGTGACTCGGAAACGCTCTCTTTTAACACGTTGTCGACAGCGTGACGCGGTAACGCGTCCCACTTTGCGCACCTCGTGGAACATTGCGACGCCGTAATGCGTCATACCCATCATTCCTTTTTCTAGCGCTTGCGTGACTTATACCTAACAAGGGAAGGATCCCAGGTCGAAGTGGCCATTCGTAATAAAACCTATACTCACATACG